GTCCCAGCATTGGCCTTACCCTTGCTCACAGGGACTCTGCTACGCACAGTACACATGCCTGTGTCCAGGGTCACATCCTGCAGCTTTGGGGGCCCCAGCTACATGGACCTGTACGTGACCTCCGCGGCAGATGGCCTGAGCCAGGAGCAGCTACTGAAGGAGCCTCAGGCTGGACACGTCTTCAAGGTTTGAGAAGGTTTTTATACTGAGAGTCCTGTGGCAGCTTTTGTGCTGCCCTGTACCAGGTGACAGGGGGTGGAAAGGCATCTTAAACTCTGGTAAGTTTAGGCCGAGTGGGCATATCTGCAGGTGGGTGGAGGTCACTTCATCAACCCTCCTAGAACACAAACATTTCAAACACAACCCCCCAGTGTGACACAAAAATTGTGTTTTCAGTGTGTGGCTTATGAAGTGCCTAGACTCGGTCTGGCCACACTCTGCCAGTAACACCATGTTTGGGCAGCAATGTGGGCCTGACCACAGCATCTCTGCACCCTCTGCAGGTCACAGGCCTGGGGGTGAAAGGAGTCGCCCCTCACACCTTTGCTGGATGAAAGCCATGCCCAGTGCCACTTCAGGATGTCAGCCTCTGTCCAGAGGGACTGGGCCAGCGTCAGTGGCTCAGTTTGGTCATCCCTGCATGAGTGGCTGGGTCAGAGCCCAGAGATCCACGTGGCCAGTCTTCAGAGTCACTCTGTTGCTCACTGCTTGAAGGACATGAGTTACATGGGGGGACCAGGCACTGGTCTCTGGCATGGTCCCCTGTTGGGTTGCTGAGGCCCTTATTCTGTCTACACAGTCATCTGCCTGTCCCAGAAATCATCTGGGTGAGACAGGTGATATCTCTGCAGATTTTAAATTCCCTGCCCAGAGCACACAACATTTTTTTTTTTAATTGTGGTAAATATATATAAAGTTAGTGGTTTTGAAGTGAACGGGTTCAAGGCATTTAATGCACTCACAATGTTGTCTTATTTTAGAACATTTTCTTCACCCCCAGAGGAGACCTGTCCCCATAAGCAGTCAGTCCCCACTGGCTCCCCAGCCCCTGCAGATGCTGGGTCCACTTTCTGTCCTCATATAAAGGGGACCCTCCTCCCTATGGCCTCTGTGTCTGGCTGCCCTTGCTGAGCCTCTGAGTCTTTCAGGGTCAATCAGGTTGTAGCAGGTGTTGGGACCTCGTCCCTTTCTGAGGCCAAGCATGATTCCCTGTGCAGGCCCACCATACACTGTCCATTCCTCGGCTGAGGACCCTCAGGCTGCTCCCAGAGAGCTTGTGCAGAGAGCTGCTGTGGGTACCTTGGACATGTTTTTATTTCAGCAAGTCTTTGCTGGGTCAAGGTAGCCCTGTATCTGACTGAGGACCCTCTAATGGCTCACCAGCATTTGGTGTTCCCACCCCAAACATGCACCTGGGATGATGGGACACTCTTGGGCCATGACTCAGAGGGGTCTCCAGTGTGGCATGAGCAGGGTCCTCACCGCACACAGGGGCACATGGGGCTGTGAGGCTCCAGCTGTCTACAACAGGGACACCCATCCCATGGCTCTCAAGCTGCTGATGGCAGCTCACTTCCTGTGAAGGCACCTGGGTGTTGAGTCAGAATGAGAATCCTGGACTGAGAGGAAGAAGGGCTTTGGACACTGTCACTGCTGTGGGAGCATTTGAGGGCCACTGGGAAGTGGGTCCTAACTGAGTGGTCAGCCCTGGGAAGGTATAGTGGGTCCCCAGGGCAGAGCCCTTGGAAGGGGAGCAGGACTAGGGAACAGCGTCCATGGAGGAGACAGAGCCCTTGGAGGGGATAGAATCCTTGGAGGAGACAGAGACATTGGAGGTGGCAACAGGTTCCCAGGGACACAGCCCTTGGAGGGGACAGAGCCCTTGGAGGGGGCGGCAGGTCCAAGGGGGCCTGGGGGACCTCTGTTAGGTATAGACTCTGATACCCAGGAGCCTGAGGGGTCAAGGCTGGGGGAGCCTGAGTGTGGGCTCAGGAATCTGGGGGTCATCCAAGCTGAGAACCAGTGCTGTGGTCAGGGACATGGGGGAGGCAGTGGACTCTCAGCCTCTCTCCTACTGTGACTCTGGGGGTCTGGCTCGTTGCCGATCAGGTGTGCGTCCTGCATGTCACTTGGACAGGGAGGAACCTGTCCCAACTGGCAGGGTGGCCCCAGGGTATGCAGAACAGGACAACCCACAGAGACAGAAGGTAGCTGTAAGTCACCAGGGCTGGGCCGGGGGCTGGGGAGTGACCGCTGGTGGGCCCAGGACCTCGTCTTGGGGTGACGAAGACATTGTGGAAACAGAAAGAATTATGGGTTGCTCCACATTTTGAGTGTGCTAAATGTTGGTAAATTGTACACTTTAAAGTTTAACCATAAGTATGGTGACTCATCTCAATTTAAAAAATAACTGCAGGATAGCTCAGTGCCTGTGGCTCAAGCGGCTAAGGCGCCAGCCACATGCACCTGAGCTGGCAGGTTAAAATCCAACCCGGACCTGCCAAACAATGATGGCTGCAACCAAACAATAGCCGGGCATTGTGGCAGGTACCTGTAGTCCCAGCTACTTGGGAGGTGAAGGCAGGAGAATCACTTGAGCCCAAGAGTTGGAGGTTGCTATGAGCTGTGCCACAGCGCTCTATCCAGTGTGACAACTTGGGGCTCTGGGTTAAAAAATAAATAAATAACTGCAGGAAAGAAGAGAACAGCCAGCCAGCTCTGGGCACAGTGCAGGACTGTCCACTCTGGGCTGGGAGCAATGGCCAGAATGTGCTTGTGGGCCAGATCGGGGCAGTGTCCAGACACCTACCCAGCAAGTGTCTCAGGAAGACCAGAGGTCCAGGATGACAAGATGTACAGGTCCTGAGCAGCTCTCTGGGCACAGACAGCTGTGGGTGTTGCTGGGACAATGGTCTTGGACAGCCTCCAGCCCCAACACTCCCCCCCAAAGATGGGGGGGTGCTTGGGCAGTATGCCCTCTGGGGCCATCCCGGTTTTTCTGAGGCCTTGGCAGGATCGGGGTCTCTGTTCATCATCAGCTCCTGCAGGTGGCACTTAGCCCTCATGTGATAGGAGACTGGACAGACTTCCAGGATGGCTTTTCCTTTCTGTCTTCCTACCACCTACTGTCCCTTGACCCTGGGCAACCTGCCCACCCTCCAAAATGACTATGTGCCCTGAGGAGGTGGGGATCCCTCTGCCCTTCCAGGTTTCTCAGGAAGAAGGGTCACTTTCATGAACCGCCCCCAAGGCAGGTTTTGGGCCTCTGATCAGGAAGCCCTGGGTGGGCTCTGGGACCCCCAGGACCTTCCTGGGCAGGCTCTGAGACCCCCGGGACCTCCCTGGGCAGGCTCTGAGACCCCCGGGACCTCCTTGGGCAGGCTCTGGGATACTCTGGGACCTCCCTAGGTGGGCTCTGGGATCCCCTGGGAACTCCCTGGGCGGGTTCTGGGACCTCTGGGACCTCCCTGGGCAGGCTCTGGGATACCCTGGGACCTCCCTGGGCAGGCTCTGGGATACCCTGGGACCTCCCTGGGTGGGCTCAGGGACCTCCCTTGGCAGGACCCCCGAGACCTCCCTGGCAGGCTCCAGGATCCCTGGGAACTCCCTGGGCAGGCTCTAGGATCCCCTGGGAACTCCCTGGGCAGGGTCTGGGACCGCCTGGGACCTCCCTGGCAGGCTCCAGGACCCCTGGGAACTCCCTGGGCAGGCTCTGGGACCCCCTGGGACCTCCCTGGCAGGCTCCAGGACCCCTGGGAACTCCCTGGGCAGGCTCTGGGACCCCCTGGGACCTCCCTGGGCAGGCTTTGGGACCCCCTGGAGCTCCCTAGGCAGGCTCTGGGACCCCTGGAACACCCTGGGTGGACTCTGAGATCCCCTGGAACACCCTGTGCATACTCTTGGATGCCCTGGGACTCTGGGCCCCTCCCTCTGCATAAAAGCACATGTGTCATGGTAAAGTTGTAGCTGTGCCCCTCAAAGAGAGAAGAAAGTGAAGAGGACACCTCTCACTCCTTCCGCATCACCCCAGAACCACTAGACAGCACAATTGGATAGGGACATGATGCAACAGCTGGAAAAGAGGAAGCAACATTTGCCATCATTTTGCAAATCAGATGACTATATGCCTGGTAAATCTAAGAGAACTGGGCACACAATAAGACCCCATCTCTGCAAGAGAGTCTAAAAATCAGCTGGGTGGTGTGGCACCTGTAATCCCAGCTGCTGAGGCAGGAGAGTCCCATCAGCCTAAGAGGTGAAGGCTGCAGTGAGCTACGATGACACCACCGCATGGAGGCTAGGCCTTATCTCAGGGAAAAATTCCACAAGCCTCCATTTAGTGGCTGTGTAGGGCCCACTGGCTACCCCCAGTTGACACTGACTATTGTGCTAAACATCTCTGCCCACAATCTAATCTGTCCATAACATGACCTCCTCAGGATAAATTCTTTCCTCAGAGAGGAATAACTGTACAGGAGTGCACGGAACTGTAAGTCAGATTTGGACCAATCCCTCCTCTGCTGATGTACACTCCTGCCAGAGGTGGCCAAGGTTCCTCTCTCATCACCACACTGTGGCAGCACCAGGCATTATAGCTTTTAATTTTGATTTTCTTTTTTTCTTTTTTTTTTTTTTTTTTTGCCATTTTTGGTTTTTGCCGTTTTTGGCCGGGACTGGGTTTGAACCTGCCACCTCCAGCGTATGAGGCTGGCACCCTACTCCTTTGAGCTACAGGCACCTTGATTTTCTTGATCAGTGGAAAATGGTAATCTGTTCTGACACTGAATACTAGTATGCTTTAACATGTGCAGGTGTATTAGCTGCTTTCGGCAAAGTTTAATGACTTTCCTGCTTGTGAGTGAGTAGAGGGCATTTGGGTGCCTGCATTAAAATCCCTGAGGCAAGTTGGGCAGGGAGGGGCCCTTGGAGGGTTAGGGTTAGAATGGTCAGTGAAGTGACAGCTGATTAGCCAGCTCTCAGTGGCTCTGGAAACCCACTGTGGGTCTCCAGTGTCTGCAATCCCAAAGCCAAGGTGTGGGACTGTTTGTGCCCAAACTTCCAAACCCTTTACCAGCCGCAGTTGGCTTGTTCTGAAAAATGGCTCCCCTGCCAACAACCCACAAACCTTCAGAGAAAACTACCGACCTGGAGAAAACTTCTTCCAATCTGTAATCAACGAAGCCTGTGTTTGTTGCTAATAGAAATCACTATCTCCGGTGGCACCTGTGGCTCAAGGAGAAATCACTATCTCCCAGACCCCTGCTCAATACTCATCAAATGAAGAGTCAGAGAATGCTGGATTGAAAGGGTGGCCCCCATAGCCCAGCACCT